TGATATTCCACAGGACCGAAAATGGACAAATATGCTAATATACAATTATTGCTGGTTTTTTAGGTCAATACGATGATTTAGACACCTGAGGAGTACAATATTCACCGAGCCCGAAGGGCGAGGTGAATATTGTACTTCGAAGGTGTCTAAATCATCGTATTGACCTCAAAAAAACCCAGCAATAACTGTTTTATTATATGATTAAATGATAGCAAACTCCTACAAGACTGTTTTTTGTTGTTTTTTTTTTTTTTTTTTTTTTTTTTTTTTTTTTTTTTTTTGCTTTAATTGAGAGTTTTAACGAGAAATTTCAACAAGAACACATTGTAACATGAAAAAATGGAACAGGAATAATTCATTATATTGACCTGCAATAATTCCTTATATTGACCTGGAAGGTCACGTGATTCATTATATTGACCTGCAATAATTCCTTATATTGACCTGGAAGGTCACGTGTAGGTCAATATAACGTAGTATTTTTCTAACATTGTTGGATCTCAGCCAATCAGAAAGAGGGAAATTATTCAATCATATAATAATACTGCTTGGTTGTATTTTATTCAAAAGTAAACCTAAAAATATAATAACCTCTAAAAATGTTGAAAGTCGTAATTTGTTACCTTTTCCCATTTAATCCACAATACTAGAATCGTGTTTAAATTAATGTTAAAATAATTAATTTCTTAATTAATTAATTATTATTTCAACCTTTAATATTGCATTATTTTACGATATATGATAGGTATATTTGCATTTTGAAGAATGTCGAGGTCAAAGATGTGCATTATTAAGCAATCAAAACCACAATTGTACAAAAGATAAATGCACATGTTTCATACATAAATCAGACAATACGTATATGTTAATTTTGTTTTTGAAAATTTACACAAAATTTAAAAAATAAACAAAGCAACCCAGCCAAAGTTGTTTTTACTTTAATGCATGGCCACTAACATGATCTTCTTAATAAGCCTTAGATATTTTTGGACATATATTAAATCGTCACTACATGGTTTTTTTTACTTTCTAGATCAGTTAAAAAAATTATCTATTACTGGTTCCAAATCCCAATCTATGATTATATTACCAAACCATATTTCAGCTTTAAGTGAAGTGGTTTGAGTTTGCATGAAATAATCCCCTCTCCTAGAAATGTTCCTCCTCCAAATATTATAACTGTTAATTAATTGAAGTATGAAAAGAAATTTTAAAAATGTACTGTTGACTTGGATTTGAAGAGCACAAATTCCATTACAGCAAGAACTATACAGAATACCGAATCTGAACTAGTGTAAGCAATTGCATATGTCAATTAATGTAGAGTAAGCTACCACTAATTTCAAATTTGGAAAAATCCCTGACTTTTCAGAAAGTTATCCTTTTATATTTTCATGGCAACGGCGGCCATTTTTGAATTAAAACTCCAAAACTTAAACATCAGTATCATGCATTTTTGAATAACTAAAGGGAACTAAAAACTCAAAATTATATAAACAATGACTTACCAATTGGTATGCAACAAGTCGGTCTTAATACGACTCAACGATGCGTTATACTTGCAAGCAAACAAAATCATTACATGTACATGTATAACCACAATAAAATTTTTGAAATTCTAACTTTAAACATTGTTTAAATATTGTTGATAGCCGTGTATCATCACCTTATTCGTCAGTAGCCTGTTTCGGTTTGATTTTTTTATCGTTCTAAGAACACGTTCGTGTGTACGAAATCAGTTGGGAGACTTAAACACCATTTGCAGGTGATGGTGAAATTAATACGGAAAGTTAACGATGGAAAAGCTGAAGTAATCCCATTTGACATATAGTTAAGTGGTGAATTGGCCAACAACGTCTGTAGTTCAGTTAAACATCGAAATATGAAACAGATGTGGCTGACTCTGGAATCTTTTATTTAGAGTTCACTTGGATATATCGAGTGGACAAATGAATGAAAGTTAATAAAACGTCTTATATCCAAATTCTGGCCACAGCAAGAGTATTCTTCTATTCATGTAGAAGTTTATGAATGAGAATTTAAAAATAGGTCGGCTAATGAAGGGGGACAATAAGTGGTATATGAATTCAACACATTTCGGAAAACCTGGTCTCCAAAGACCAAACTGATATTGTGAATGTGAAATTCCTGCATCTTTTTAAAATCAACTTAAAAGTACTTTTGTTTAGAATCGGAATGATTTTCAAAATAGTAATTTATAGATGACCTATCATAAGAAATAAAATTTCCGAGCACCAATTTTACAAAAGAAGGATTTGTCTATGAGGTCAAAAACTCCAGGGGCCCATTTTAGAAAAGAACTTACGACGAAGACCAAAACCTTAAGTTTATTGTAAAATTTTGCAAAAATAATGAAACCTTGAAATATTGGTTGCATAAAAATATCTTTTTTCATTCTTTTTAAAAAGATTTAAACGATTTCAAATTAATGTAAAAGAGAGAGTTATTCGCAAAATTACATTTGGTCTTAGTCATAAGCCCTGGTCTTTAATCTGGCTGAGTGGTTGCATAAAGACTTGAAAAGTCATATGTTCTGAGGTCATTGATTTTTTTGAAAAAAAAGTTTGTAATTTCAAATTTTCTAAAAGTTCTTTGGAGTTGTTAAGCATTCACATTTGATTAACATCATTTCTTAAATATGTTGTAGCAAAGTATGAGAGGTTTCTCCTTCGCAGCAGTTAATATTTTTGCGAGGAGTAAAAATATAGGAGCTTGATAGAACATTTACTGGACCCTGCAATGTAACTTTGTAAGGATTTTTATGAAGCTTTGAAGTATAATATATGTATGGTCAATCAAATTTACTTCCCTTGACTGGAATGTTAGAAAGTATTTAAAACTAAACGTAATTTTGAAGAATTTCATCTTTTGAAAGGGAACTGCATATATTATAAGTTGTGGAGTAAAGCCAAGTTCTTCTTAAATGCAGTTGTAATCTACTGAAAACGGAAGGATATTAGTAGATGGTAGGAATTTTGCCTTTTAGCTGTCTAATACGATCTTTAAATATTCTTCTACAACGTTTTTTCCATTCTGACAAAGTGTTGAAGTCCTCTTCTTTCATATTTAGACCATCTTCTTTCATATTCATCGACAGAATTCATAATAGAAATAAAGTTTTGTCACCATTTAAAAAAGCTCAGGACTCTTGAATTATTTTACCTTTGAAATTTCTTTCCGTCTGGTCACACTTTTCAATTATAACAAACATTGCCAGGAATGATTGTTTGCCAAGAACGACGTGGAAAGCCTGTATATAACCTGAAAGTGAAAAAGTCACAAAATTTGATGTTAGTATCTAAGACTGGATGTAGAAAAGGTATGAAAAAGTATAAGAATTATACCTGTAACACAAAGAATGAGAACATCAGTGCCAGTAGAAAACAACAAGAAAAATTAATCATGTCTTTAAATTGAACTGAAAATCTTAAGTAAATATGTATATGCAATTACTTTAACAAATTGTTACTTTATTTTCTGAATTTTTTTTATACTTGCCTTATTAATCTTGATTTCTCTTTCGCCCTTCAGCCCTCTGAACGTATGTAGTTTGAACAAACTGTATTAATATAACCTCCTCCGCTATTGATGATAACGAACAGTACTCAATCTTGTAAATCCAATGAAGAAAATAAATCATGAATAGTACGAAAAAAAAAACTCGGAGTCCTGGAAACACCAAAGGTGGTATCATGTGCCTAGGAGGAGTAGGCATCCCCTGTCGACCGGTCAAGCCCTCTGTATTAATGGGAGAAACGGATTAATCTGTAATCAAAATGATATAAAACAATGGCCTAACTATTGGTGGGACACATGTCAGTCAAAATACGACCCACCGATAATTTGTATTTGCAAACAAGATCATTTTATCGACAACAGAATTTGAGAGATGCTGACTTTAAAAAAGATAGTTTGAAACCCTGTAACATCAACTTATTTGTCATTAGCCTGCCTCTGTATAAAAATTGATCGTACATAGAGTACCTCTTGGACATCAAGTCAGTTGGGAGACATCAACAACTTGTACCGGTGATTGTGGAATACTGCTAGATAAAAAGGGAAAATTGACGATGTAAAAGCTATATTCTGAAATTTATACATGTAAATAGATTTGTAAAATATTTGAAATTTATTTGGAGTTCTAAAGCATACTTTTACCGAGAAAACTAAAAGAACTCTAAAATAAACAACGAAGACAAGTTGATTCAACTGTATGCAAATCTACTGATAAAGTAATTGCTTAAACACATGTACAGCATTTTCTCAAAGTTAATGCTAGACTACAACATAAACATCTATCACGGGTTGTCAGCACAGCATGTTTCATTATATAAATTTGACAACAAAATGCACTAATTTTTTTCTATTATTAATTGCAATTGCATACAAATTAGTGCAAGTTAATTACTTCATAATTCGTCAACAAAATTTTGAGGAAACAAACTGATATTTTTTTAAATACCGATCTCTAGCATTTTCATTTTGACCACACAATCTATCAATGAATTTAGAACTATATATATATATATATATATATACAGAGAGAGAGAGAGAGAGGATTCATAGGAAAACAGTAATAACGATTTTCTTTAAAAATATGCACAAATATTCATTGAACTAAAAACAATTTCAACGAAATTCTAAGAAAACATCAATTTACTAGAAGAAAATTAACAAACTTCATACATCTCAATGTAGTGTCCTGATATTAAAATATTTTGTTACCTGAAAACTCTACAAAGTTATTATGAAACAAAGTATTTATTAATCATTATTATATTCTCATATTCCAAACTTGTTAAAATGGGCTTAACCACACTTTTGTTACACCTCTTAATGTCTTTTATTATTCTTTTTTCCTAAATAGCCTAAGGTGCTCAGGAGACCGGAATACCAAATGAGGACGCTTAACGTCACTCAACTACCATATATTTTTACACAGAGACCAAGAATCGACAAAAGTAGTAAGCACGAGCGCAGAAACAGTTCCGGTGATGAAAAGGAGGCGCTCTTCATAGGGGACTGGACATTTAATTTCGGTTTTTAAATTAATTTGTTTTATATAAATAAAAATTATTATCGATTTTTTAAAGGATTAACAGCAACATCAAAAAACTTTCCAAAATGTGGAATTCTCTGGGATTAACTATAGTGACAATCTGTGTTTGTGTACATCAGTTGTCGGCTCAGCAACAACAGAAACTGTTAGCCATCAATGGACATTTGAAAAACATTATAGCTAATGCTCAGATGTTACAAGCTGTTGTTCAAGCTGAATTGGGACAAAACATCCCCAATCCTCCTGTTAATACTAATGCAGTATATTCAAGCTTCCTTGAGGAGGTTGAACTTAGACTCAAATCCCTAGAAGATAATACTGCACAACTGCAGATGCGTATGGGATCTTCAAATCCCAACTGTCCACAAGCCAGTAAGTGCACATCAATGTTGTTGTTATTTTTCTTTAAAGGGACATAACTTCAACTCGAGGATCACATGGCCTAATAGCAACATTGTTTGGATCATAAAACTATCGAGGGAAATCTTTGTGGATAATATTTTGGTCTTGATGGAAGATATACTTTAAATACCCGCTTTTCAAGCAAGTATATTCTTATAAAACAACATTTTCTTCATTTGAACAATTCTTTGTTTAAAAGCAGAACAGGAAACGTTTAATCTTCCAGGCAGCGTTGTTTATTTTGGTCAGGAATGTGTCTATTTCCGTGATTTACGACGCGTATTATAATTGTCTCTGTTGCTAAAATGGCCACACATTCTTTACGGACCAAGGTCCCGCACAGCTAATTAACATTCATAAAATTCAACCCTAAAAGAAGCGTCGACCCCTGTATTTATACTTCAAAAATGTTAAGTATCAATTCAACCATAATTTTTTCCACTTATCTGGAATTTTTTTCGGGGGGGGGGGGGTGTTGGGTTGAAAAAAAAATACTGTTCTTTATGGATATTAGGCATTCTTTTTGTTTTCTGTTTGTCTTTTAGACTATATATGACGTCAGATGTCAAGAGATACGATTGTGAGTTCAAAAATTTACACCTAATTTTAAAAAAAAAACATATTCAGTGAATTTTTGTAAAACAAAAAAAAATGAATAAATAGGAAATAAACCAAAAGAATAATTATGATAAAAATTATTTGTTAATTATATGTTACATAGATTATCCCATAACAATGTCATCACAGTATTAATGTAAAGTATGTTAACACAAGAAATAACATCCGATTTCGGAAGACCTACAGGCAAAACGCACGCCTGCCTCGGGTTCATGACAAATGATAATGTCAGGGGAACATCAGGGCTTAATTGTTTTTCGTAAGTGAAATTTGGTCTCTTAAGGATGTCATTGATAAGAAATGTTATGATCAAACAGGCAAAGTAAATGTCGTGACACTGTTGGTACCAGCTTTCGGTGTATATTACCCTAATAAGATATTCGTTAATAAACTTTAGTTTATATCAAATTGACAACAAATTAAACACCTAAAATGAACAATTTACGATAAACTTTTTTTTTCATTTACTTTTAAAGGATATTCTTAATTAATGTTTTAGTTTTCTTATTTTGAGTGGATGAATAATTACAATGAACGTTCGTTGCTTACATAAATTTAATTACTCTGCTTGTCAAATGAATGCGTCGGAAAATTGAACATTTCCTACACATGAAGTATATTAATTATAAATTCTCAGCACAAAACAGAACCCTTCCCGCGTGACAAACTTGACAAAATGTATTAAAAAATTGACATTCGATTAGCAATTTAAAGTTAATATGATTAACTGGTTTGTCATTAGCATAAGATAATTCTTTCATAAACGCGATAAAATCGGATTTACAATGGGTTTATAGTTTCTTAATTGTGAATATATATCCTGATACAAGGTGCATTGTGTAATATGTAAATTTTCTGGAGAAATTTATTATAAAAGTCACGAAGCAACAGAACTTCTGTCAAGTTATGTAATGTTTTGTCCAAAAACTTGAAATCTCTTATATCAAGTCATGTTCTTCACACCTCAGATCGTCTTAAAATAGCAGAGAATTAGAGGGAGCTCATTTATAATACCTGTAATTATATTTCTTTGGACAGCAGAATTTCCTGTAAAATTTAGCATTTTCGCTCTCGTGAAAAATGCATTTAATTAAATTAACAAATTTAAAAAAGTAAAACATGAAAAACTAAAACAATTTATGAATTTAAATGCATTATTTTTCTAACTGCACTAATATCTCGACCTTGCACCCAAGCAATTTATGAGAAATGTCATTATTATAGAATTATAATGCACTTTTTCTATACGGCTAGAAACTCGCTGTTTCAAAGATTTGAATTATTTTGCATTAATTAATAGTAAGCGAGGATTTATATGTCTAAAAAATCATTTGATGTTGTTAGATTCATTCCTTGCGTTGAAACGAAGTAGAAGTTATTGCCAGATTTCGCTGTGACGAAGTCTGTCCATTGCCCATTGTACTTTTTTTCATTTAATATAAAAAATAATTTAGTTACTTGTACATCTAGTCAAATTTAAGGAAAAACTATCAAAAACTTCAGAAGAACTTTAGAAATTACCTATCTCAAATTAAAAAAAAAAAAAAGGACCAACTTGAGGCAAATACATGTACATGTATGTAGACTAAAATGGATCTGTACTGGGCTTCTGTTTTCTGGGAACGAGCAAAAAAAAACAAAAACAAAAAACTAAGATCTAACTAAACGACTATTTCTATTTTATTTTCAGCCCCTCCCCCTCCACCTACAAATGTCGTTGTGGAGTCGGCCACAATGGACAATGTGTCCTCCATCGTTGTTAGGTGGGATCCTCCCAACCCCGTCCCAGACAATCTTCAGTATAAGGTGTACTTCTCCGCTGTTGACGAGACAGGGTATCAGCCTCAGGGAGAGGTTGTTTTCAGGATCTGTGACTCTACCCAGACTAGTGCTTCTATTACGGATCTAGCTCCACGTTCTAAGTACCAAGTCCGTATTGGAACCGTTGCTGGCATTGTTTCTGAATCTTCTAGTGCCCCAGAATTTGTGGAAACTCCTGATATCAGTAAGTGTTTATTACAAAGTTGCCATAATATTGAAATATAATTTAAAACACTAAGTTTTAATTTATTTCTTTAATGAATATATTATCATTTTAAAATATCGTTATTGGAAATGTTACAGTACCTAAATTTTTAGCTTGCATGGCATCGTATCGAGAATCAGAATGTTTGAGTTGTACATATACTTATGTGGAAACAATACTTCTAATCATAGCTGTTTCGGCTTTAATTCTCCATCTACATTTAACTTCAAGAATCACTCGATATAAATTCCAAACCTTTTTTTTTTAGTTCCAAGCGCACCAACGATTATGGTCATCGAGCCCAAAAATCCCAACACCGTGTACTTGCAATGGGATCCCCCCGCAGTCGCCGGAAGAATTACTGATTACGTAATTTACTATAAAGAAGATGGAGATGCTACTGAAATGATGGAGGTTGTATCTCAGCAACCTAAAATGAAACTTAACTTCTATGTCAGTGATCTGTCTGAAGGTACCCGGTACGTTATGCAAGTAGCAGCTCGGTCAAACAACGGAGAGGGTGACAGGAGTATACCAAGGGAGGTCTTCACGATTGATTTCAGTAAGTTAACCTTTATAAAAATATGTTAGGGAGTAAAAAATCATTCAAAGGGGCACCTTCTTCCCATACAAGCATTTGAAATGAAATCCTATATTGCCGAGTCTAAAGAAGTATTTTCTTGTGATGGAAAAGGACATCGTTCTGGATTATCTTGTTGCCTGCCGTCCGATGAAATCAGTTTACGACATAAAAAATACTATCATATACTGTATACAGGGAAATTTTCGCCCCGTTTTATTTAAAAAAAAACAGGCAAAATTGTTTGCAAAGTGTGAAAGGGCGAAAATAACATTGGGCGAAAATAACCCTGTATACCATTTAAGTCTATAAACATTCAGTAAAATTTGTGTAATCCGGACATCACTGCTTCAATAGAACTTCGCCGGATTAGACAACTACTGGGTTAGACATTTAAACCAATTGAATTTACATAAAGGCACTGAAAGTTTCAGTATAATAGGCAAGATTTTGGCATAGTCACATCTTTATAATACAAGTTTAACCGTAGTATAATTGCTGAACGTAAAAACAATTTATACAAAATAAAACTCTGCATCAAAAATCAAGAACAGAAATTCTTTACGAGTATATCCATTTATTTCGCCATGTAACTTTTTCAATTTTTCCGTTATTTCCCGATCATGACAAGGAGCATACGGCGGGTGTGACCGGTCGGCAGGGGATGCTCACTCCTGCATGGCACCTGATTCCACCTCTGATGTTTTAGAGATCCGTGTTTGCTCTGCTCCAAAATATGTATTGTTTAATGGATTTTTGAGCTTGAATACTGTTTGTTATCTCCATACACTTCATCCATGATGCAGTCTATTGTACAAGTGCCAGGGAAACCATGCAACAATTTTAATCATTCAAAATACTCATTATAATAAAATTGCCATTTTCCTCCAACACGGTACAGCGCACCTCCTGTTTTATACAGCCAATACGTCAACTGGATTCGAGATTTCATACTGGCATCTATATATCAATTATTTAAGGTCTCAAAGAAGCTCATGTGGTACTACAGCAGGCAATGCTATTCGAAATTTTATACCGTTACAATGTGATCGAAAAGAATGAACATATTTTCACTACCATTCTTTTGTTACACTTACGAAAATATATAGAAACTACATCTAATTTTTTCTTAACTAAAAAAAAGAAGTCAAGCAACTTACCTAAGGGCGAACTACTTAGAAACTAAAACTTAATGTAAACTGGGTGCTCTCTTCTGAACATATTTGAAATGCACAGTGAATTATTGGAGCAACTCTAAATACTTTGCAGTCAGTTTTGTTTGAACTACCAACTTGTTTATCGAGGTTGTGTATCCTTCTCTTGAATATTAAGATAGACCATCGATAATTGGTAACTTGAAAATTATTTGCATTACGATTAAAAAAAAAAATTGTGCCGTAGCATTAACGTACTAAAATTTATGATGTGAATGCGATACAGAAAGTCCACGCGCCGAGTGCATAAACGGTGATCTAATAATAAAATACAACGGGTTTGATCGATGAGTTTAATTTTTTTTAAAGTTCCAATACATTGCAATATGACGAGTTGTCGTATAAGATTGACTGTATTTTCTAATTATCGAACATGATTTTTTTAAGTTTTTAATGTAATCGTGTGATCTGATCTATCTATATCTCTTTTGAATGGCACCTATAGTGACACTTCATAAAAATCTCCAATGAATGATCCAATGACATTTCACTTTTAATATCCCATTGAATTTTGAACTAAGCATAAAATCTTTGCATACTTTAAGTGCCCCAACCCATCCCAAATAATATTTTTATCTGAAAAAAATAGATGGATTTCTAGTTAGTGTTGTTGTTATATAAATAAAGAATATAATGAAATTATCTGCAAACGAAACATAAAATAATTTAGCCTGAGCTTACTTTTGTTACCTACAGAGTTATTATTCGTTATGTACAAAAATGCAAAGACCCATGCTTGCCAGCCACATGCATGCATTTAATGACTCATGTAAACACCGTATTATAAAATTTCAAACGGATATTTTATCACAGATTGTTAAGAACTGGTGACTTTGCTTTCTGTTTCTGTATCGATTATCACACGATAACCACATATATTTTTTACAGACCCACCTCATCCACTGAACTTGAATTGTACATCTCTGAATAAAACAGCGGTCATTCTCACATGGGAACCACCTATTCTTCTTCCCACGGACGGTATAATCCGCGGATATAACATAAACTACACAGATAGCAGGTACAGAGAATTCTATCTATATAAGTCAAAGGATGCCACGGTGACACAAGCTGTTATCGATGGCCTGGAACCCGCTACTGTCTATTACTTTCAAGCGTCTTCAAGAACCAGAAAAACGTTCGGAGGAGGCGGAGCTGTAGTCATGTGTCAAACAAAGGCTGATGGTAGTAATATATCATTTTCTGTTCAACAACCGAGTTTTCTGGGAAAATTTTACATAATAGTGACCAAAAATTACAGCTCTTTCTTTTTTTAAAAAACTGTTGAACTTTTTTTGGCCAAATATTAAATATTATTCTTACCCTCCGTAATGTACAAAATAATAATATGTAACATAATGTCATATAAATAAATCTCTTTACTTTAAACAGTGCCAACAGCTCCCAGAAGTGTCCAGTTGGAATTATCCCGCGGAGATCCTCCACAACTGACAATGAGATGGATCCCCCCACAACATACTTACGGACCTCTGGTAAACTACACACTACACTGGGGAGTTAAAAACGGCGCTTTGAGGAAAGAAAAAATTGATCCAACCAGATTAAGATGGATTTCCGATTTCTTAGGTACAGGGCTTTTTCATTTCTTACCTATACAGTTTCCCACTTCTTTGAAATCAGAATCACCTCACCGTAAAGTTCTGTGAATGCTTTTGCAGTGAATTTTATTCTTCAACAAAATGTATTTTTGCCCCTCCAATTATAATCTTGCAATGGTACGTCTTTAATTTTTCTAATCTCATTTTCTCTATGGTTAATTTTTTTTAGATGACGACACAGTTCACGAATTTAAACTTTATGCTGTTAATAATGTTGGATTCGGAGAACCAGCTATTCAGGTTCGCAAAACCCCAAAACGAGGTAAGACCTACCGAAGTATCTGTTGTTTATACTATACACTTGTTCCACTGTATTCTGATACATGTATCTATATAATCGGATAAGTATTAATTCTCAATCATGTTGTACTCACAGAGACTATAGTACCACCAAATGTTACTGTCGATCGTGTGAAGGGAGAAAACAACACCACAATGCTGAGAGTTAAATGGGATCCGCCTCTTCAACCCGTGAAAGGATACGATATTCTATACAGAAAGTTTGAATGGGTATACAGTGGTAGATGGAAGTTGAAGGAAATAGCCGATCCTACTTCCTTAATGACAGAAATCATCGTCAACAAACCAGAAAACTCATTTATTGTCGTTGTACAAGGCAAACCCGGTAGGCGACAACAACCCCAGTACCCTCCGATAAATCCGTTCGGAAATCCCATGGGAGGTAATATGGGACAGCCCATGAATAGGGGAGGTCCAAACGGTGCCATGATGGGAGGACAGAATCCATTTCAAAGTGGCAATGTTCGAATGCAAGGTAACCAACAGCCTGGGCCGGCTGTTTCCATGTCTCAGCCCATGATTCCAGGGCAGCCAGGAGGTTTTTCACAAAATTTTAGGCCTTAAGCTAGAGAGATCTAGATATGATGTATCAAAATTTCGAAAAGTTATTGATGTCAAAAATTCATAACACATCATGTAATGAAAAGAACTCATATAAAACATTTTCAACTTGGGTTGCAGCAACAATCATTCTTTGTGACGTGTGTAAGGATTATATCTTGCAGTTAGTAATACATTTTACAATAGCCCTAAAACATAAACTACCATATGTAAACGTGTTTCAGCGTAATCAAAGTGAAGCTAAAATGAACCTCGAAGACTATTTTTGGCCTAATTTAGCATTCTCAGTTTTCCCTGTGAAACTCTTCAAAATTTTATGCCCTTGAAGCGAAAACATGACGTCACACGGATGAACTGTTTAGGTTAAATAGTAATAAAAAAAAGAAATGAATAATGTAAATATAAACATCAAACGATGAGTTTTTAAAAATGATTTACAAAATATAAAGGTTACATACAAATTTTTCATGTCGCTTTGCAGCATCAAGTACCAAATATATTATTGTAATACTTTTAATATGATTATAATTCACTTACTAACACTCCCTCGAAAATATGAATTACACTAAAAAAAATACGCATTCTAGCTTTAACAAAAATGAAAACTGATTTTAATATACAGTTTTAGAGTCAATGTATTTATATGTGCTTGCAACAAGATTTTCTTTTTGCATGACCTTATACAACATTGCTTTAAATGGTATTGAAATCTGATTTTGACGTTATTTTTTCAGGGTAATCATCCAATCATTAACTTCTCTGGAGTCTGAAAATTACCCCATTAATTTCATTTATTCTACAAATGATGTCAGACACGTATAATAATCTACTGGTGATGTAAATCCGAGAGTGTAATATTATGTGGAGTTATCTGACTTGAGCCAGACACAATTATACCCATGAACGAGTTAACTATACTATTAAATTACCGAATATATCTTGTAAAAAAGAGAGATCTGCTTATGATATTTGGTGCATTGTTGAGCTCTGGATCAGATGAAAATAAAATCACTTTTTAAATTTAAGCAGATTTGTTGTTGTTTGATTTCGCAACACTAAAATGTTCTTCAATGAATACATACATACAAGTATATGGCTTACAGTTAATTAAGCGAGATATACATGTACATTCATTAGCATCAAACTAGTCCGAACTATCTGACGTTTTTCAGGCTTTTTTCACGATTTTGATATTTTACGTGCCATATCAAAATCGTGAAATAAAGCCTGGAAAACTTCAGATATTTCGGACTAGCATCAAACCTGATAAAAAAAAAAACATAGGCAAATTTACTAGGCATACCAAAGAAAACCTCTTATAGAAAGAGATGGGTACATAAAGAAACTTCGGTTAAAATTCAGTTAACTTAACCAGATTGTCATAACAGTGGCTCTGTGTTATAGAGTACTATCCTAAAAATAATATCTTACACGTATGTTAAGATTGTACTGACATGTACAGTGAAACTTATCTAATCCAAACACCACTGGTTTATTAGAAATTGAACGGATTAGACAAAATTTGGGATTAGACAACATTTTAAACAATTGAATTTATCCAAAGGGACTAAAAGTTCTCGTAATGAACAAGAATTCGGATCACACCACATCCAGATTAGGCAAGTTGTACTGCATCACGATTTACTTTCGATAATTAATTTCAATTCATTTTTATAATACAAATACATCAAGTTGAAATGAAAAGTTCACAAATGATGTTTGCATTTATTATTATTATTATTATTATTTTATATATATATATATATATATATATATATATATATATATATATATATATATATATATATATATATATATATATATATATCAGTCTACATTAAATGTAAAATACCGTCCCATAATTACAGAAAAACCACATTTGATAAACAAATATTAATAAATACCACAAATACTGAATACATTTTATTTAGTTTTTCATACGCATTAAATTTAAAACTGCCCTGTTGTAATTCGATCTACACAAAATGAAAGCAGTCCAATAGGAGATCTGTTTACATTTTGTGGAGATCTATATGACGCTTTCTTTAGCATCCACAAAATCAACAGGGTTTATTGGAAGTTTTTGATCGTCTTCATCCTCTTGAGAGTTGTCCGGTGGTTTGTAAAAGTACTGAGCACAAAAATAAAACACTACACTAAGTGACTTCGTCAAACACCACCAGATAAACATTTTCACTCCCATGTCTGTCTTTTCGTAATTCCAACAACTTCCGGTGTCTCCGCAGACATTTTGCCACACTTGACATGCGCTGTCTATGATGGTTCCCAGAATCAACGGACCAGGTGTTGTTCCTTAATTATTAAAACATAAAAGGTATAAAGAAATATAATAAGGGTGTTTCAATACTTGATACACTATATTGACCAGAAATCTTTTACACATGATGCACTAGAAAACAAGATGTGTTTGTGAAACACTGATGCCCCCGTATGGCAGCTTATGGCGAACGTTAAAGTTTCTCAAATGCAAGTCAAAATCCAGGCCAAAAGATAAAAAAATGTTGGTACCTAAAGAAAGGTCTTGCCCTAGCTGCAACTGTTCAAAAGTTATGGCGAAGGTTAAAGTTTTTTAAAAGTAAGTAAAACGTCAAGGTCAAGGTCAAAGTGGTTGGTATCCAAAGGAAGGCCTTGTCACAAAGAATACACATGTGAAGTTTGAAACCCCAAGCACCAATTGTTCAGAAGTTATGGCCAAGGTTAAAGTCTCATAAAATTTTGCATAAGTGGGTCAAACTCCAAGGTCAAGGTCAAAAGGTCAAATATGATGGTACCCAAAGAAAGGCCTTGTCACAGGGAATACACATGTGAAATATGAAAGTCATAGCTCCAACCAATCAAAAGTTATGGCCAAGGTTAAAGTTGACAACAGTCAGAGAGACAAACAGACAGACAGGACAAAAACAATATACCCCCGGGGTATTTCGATCCAGGGGCATAAAAACTAGATATTTTAAATATCACAATTTCAATATGTGGCTCATAAATTGTTAGCCAACGGTTTCTTGACAATACGCTCATTGTTTCCAACATGAATATCAGATTCCTGTGAGCGTTTTTCTCTCATCAATTTCGTATTTTACAAAATCAAATAATTCAGAGAATTTGCTGTTGTATTTTTATGCCCCCGGATCGAAAGATACCGGGGGTATATTGTTTTTGTCCTGTCTGTCTGTCTGTCTGTCTGTTGTCAACTTTAACCTTGCCCATAACTTTTGATTGGTTGGAGCTATGAATTTCATATTTCACATGTGTATTCCCTGTGACAAGACCTTTCTTTGGGTACCACCATATTTGACCTTGACCTTGGAGTTTGACCCACTTTTGCAAAATTTTATGAGACTTTAACGTTGGCCATAACTTCTGAACAGTTGAAGCTTGGGGTTTCAAACTTCACACGTGTATTCTTTGTGACAAGGCCTTCCTTTGGATACCAACAACTTTGACCTTTTGACCTTGACCTTGGAGTTTGACCTACTTTTAAAAAACTTTAACCTTGGCCATAACTTTTGAATGGTTGGAGCTAGGGCTTTCATACTTCACATATGTAATCCTTGTGACAAGACCTTTTTTCGGATACCAACCATTTTGACCTTGACCTAGGAGTTTGACCTACTTTTGAAAAACTTAACCTTGGCCATAACTTTTGAATGGTTGATGCTAGGCCTTTCATACTTCACATATGTAATCCTTGTGACAGCACCTTCCTTTAGATACCAACCACTTTGACCCTTTGACCTTGACATAGGAGTTTGACCTACTTTCGAAAAACTTTACTCTTGGTCATAACTTTTGAATGGTTGGTGCTAGGGCTTTCATACTTCACATATGTAATCTTTGTGATAAGACCTTCCTTTGGATACCAACCACTTTGACCTTATCCTTGACGTTTCACTTACTTTTAAAAAACTTTAACCTTCGCCATAACTTTTGAACAGTTGCAGCTAGGGCTTTCAAATTTCACAGGTATATTCCTTGAGACAAGATCTTTCTTTGAGTACCAACATTTTTTTATCTTTTGGCCTGGATTTTGACTTGCATTTGAGAAACTTTAACGTTCGCCATAAGCTGCCATACGGGGGCATCTGTGTTTCACAAACACATCTTCTTTTTTTATTGTGTTGTTTATATTACTAAATACGCACAGAGCGAGACTATTCTCAACGCACTTGAAATGTCATTTCGGGATATTTTTTGTTGGATTTTCAGAGAGGAATCGCTTTAAAGCGGGTGTAATAAACCGTTAATTACAACGTACATGTATGGAAAGTGCTAACTATATACAACAAACGTCCTATTCGTACATTGAGAATATGCTTATTGAACCAAAAATAGCACTTTTGATCGTTTAAAATTAACCTCTTTTGTTATAGATATTAAAAGCTTTCATAAATAAGAAAATTAGAAATATTTTTAACAAAGGATGCACTTCGTATTCACATTAAACTCGACCCTCAAAATTGTGCTTGTAAATATAGGTATATGTTGATTGAGACGAATGCGTGCGCATTTTATAGGGCTGTAAAGATATACACATCATCTGCGACAGAGGTAAGAAGACAAAGATTTTAAAAATGTAGCATAATTACAATTTAAAATGTTGGCGCTATGTTGGATCCGAAACATTTCGGTCGTAAAAGTTAAAATAAGAACAGGGCTTGTTTTGAAAAAGAGTTTAGATGTCTCAAATACAATTTTGCGTCTTTTTCTTTTGAATTTTTAATTTGTTGCTAATTTAAACACGTATCATGTACTTTAAATTACATGTATGTAATTCTTTTTTACCAAAATCGTGCCAATGCCCCAAATTGAACCTAGGGATAACTTTAAGGGTACATACCACAAACAAATATTCGATGCATGGATTTATATATATATATATATATATATATATATATATATATATTGACTGATTTTGAATGGAAATGACATAAATAATCAATCCCTAAAATATAAAGCAATCGTTGGTGCTTAGATAAGCGACTTTGTATCGTTTTCTATGTAATTATACACTCAATTTTGTACATATTTTTGACATTGTGACAAAATCTTGCAACATTCTCCCACTTTACCCAGAAAATATCATTCAGATTACCTATTTGGATATTAATGTATGAGAAACATTGCTGATTTCTGAAAAAGTTTGTTTGTGTTATTTATCCTTAAGTCCTAGTCCAGAGATTGTTATCAGAACTTTTAAACCACACATCTGATTGCAGGACATTGAATTTATTTTTATATACCGGAACTAAATAAAATTATATTTTTGACGTACTCCCGTTCGAGAAATTATAATGACATGTTATTCAACCTGTTGTAGTTAACGAATTTTTAAGTATGTCGCCTTCTAAATTACAGCTTCTTAAAAAAAACAGTAAAATAAATATTCAAAGAATGATAACTGTACATGGAGAAAAATATTCGAACCAAAACGACTTCAGAAAATTTTCCAACATATATATGTAAACGATTATTCTACTTCGAAAAAAAAAAGACTATTTCATGTAATTTTCGTAATTGTAAAAGGAATCCCAAATTCTGGAAAAAATAACCGATGAGAAAAAATACTTCCTATTCTTAATTAGGTTGTAGAACATTTGTTGAGCTACAAAGATAGACAATGCATTAAGAATGTGATTTACGTACCTAGAAGTCGAAGTACAAGCCACTGAACTCCTATTGCAAGTGTTCTCTGTTTTACAGACACACATCTAAAAATATAATGAAAGTAGTGATGACAACTGTTCCAAAAGTTAAAATCTCCATCAATGAAATGTTATAAATAAACCAAAATAGAATTCCAGATCAAGTGTTTTTGTTCATTCATCTTATCAGATAGGAGACAAATAAAACAAAAATCAAAGCAAGCATGCACTATTCAATTTCCCAAGCTTTTCAGTGTACTAAGAAAATATCAAATTATTAAATCTAAAATTGACATAATTACGCCTGCAGGGTCAAATTTCAGTTCAACTAGACAACAAATATCAAGTGCTTCACTTGCAAGAAATTTTAAAACTTGGTCCGGTTAAAATACAATACAAATTTTTGCTTCACCTGAGTGTTGCGGTCTGTGTGGGCGAGACAGTAGTAAAGGTCATTAACATTCCTATAAATAACAGAGGGACCACAACCCACACCAGCTTACAGTCCCCCGGACAGATCCCCTGAAAGGCGTTTGGCATGGCTGTAACATTGGTCTGATTGGACATCATAGTTGATGTAGAAACAGGAACATTTGTCGTGGTCTCCATTGCCATGGACTTGTTGTTCATTAAAAACTGATATGCAAAACTCGCTTGGACGCAGGAACAATTCATGTAAGCCTAGAAACAAAGCAGTGCAGTTCAAATGACATTCAATAATTCTTTCTGAATTAGATCCCCACAGCAGACAAGAAAACGAACCTTAAACTTGCCCATAGGACTATCCATCCATTTGTAGTCGTTTCTACAGCCAGCGTGACACGGGGAAAAGTAAACTAGGCTATCCATACCACACACAGGCTCATATGACATTGTGGTACATTGGCACTCGGAGTTACAAGAATTTGTCAGGTTACTGGAACTACCTCCAAAGTCTCTTAGAAAAAGAAGTCCTCAAATGACTATAGCAAAAGCATCCCCCCAACTCCCTAAAAATACATAGGGATATGTAGTGTGTAAGAATAATTAATAAATTCAACTTTGAAAAAATGAAATCACTTAAAACTCTGTCAAATTACATATAGACATTTTATGAGATACACACCCTTTTGTGATGTAATTAGAAGTGACACCAGCCATTTCCATCTTGGGGCATTGAATAAAGAACAAACAACCGATGACAAGGGCGATGATAGCCACGATGAGATCCATTCTGATGATACCCAAAACTTTCAGTTTCAGCTTCTTTACTAGAAGTCCGCCAAGAAACATTCCTCCTCCTGCCCCAGGAACCGTAACAATACCTTAGAAATAAAATGATAGGGTGCTCTTTCATATCATGTATGGTTCAGTATTAAATGAGTGGTACTCAACATAGTCTAGTAAAACAGAGCATATACATGTATATCTTTCTAAAAATAACACTTTAATTTATACTGTATACAAATAAATTCTTTTAAAAAATTAAGCTAACCCATTAACAGCCCAGCGAAAGCAGCGGGTAGATTGAATTTTTCCTGGAAGAACTTGGCACCAAAAGCAGCAATACCACTCACGATCATACCCTCAGTGCATGTTGCAAGGGCAAGGAAAAGAAACGTGGGATTCATTATCTGTTGAATCAAACCAACATTCAAACATATTATACATGTTGCAGGTATACGCCAAAGGGGACTACCCCCTACCCGTTAAAAACACAGAGTGCCAAATATGCAGGTATTGAATTCGTGAAGAGTGAATCCCAATTCCAAAGTAACAATCAACATCTATTACCAATCATTAAGCCAACGCGCCTTTTATAGTAATTTTTTAAAATTCGATACACCATTTTTAAATAATGTCAACAACGAACCAAATAATTAAGCCAAAGGTTTTTATATAAAGTTTTAATGTTTTGGGAAAAAAATTCAATTGATGGAGGTACATGATGTAACATTAACGAATGACATTTATATTGAGATACGTTTAGATCTTAAGTTTATCAAGCATAAGTCTGAATGCTTCACTTGGATATATCTTCAGTAAGTATTTGCTCTTTATGCGTTGATGCTCGATAAAATCATTTGGTAATTTTAAAACGAGTACATTTGATATTACATATAGCATTACGCTCACATACATACTACAGGTTATTTTTAGCTTTGTATAGAATATCTTTTTTGACATCAACAACATAACAAGTGCTTCCTATTTACAATGCATACAAAATTCGATAACTATGACAATTTTCAACAGAAAATGATGATAAAAATGAAATGAACTCATATACTGTATACCATACCAATATAATTAACCAATTTTAGAGTTGTTTCTCTTTCAGCAGAGGTCTATTTTTCCCTCAATTTCGGATGTTCTCATTTGTTTGTTTCTTATAAGTCTATACGAGTATCTGTTAGTTAAACAAAGCGTACCAGAGCTGCTATCATACGAGGAAAGTCCCTCCACTCGGGTCTCTCTTTCTGGTCCTCCTGTTCCGTCTTAGCAGAGACATAAGCTTCCTCCTCTCTCTGCTCCATGAGTTTTTTACTTCCTGTATTGGAACGAAATCTAATCAATTCGGAGGTAATACTTATACTAGAAAAAGATTTATCGATAGATAAAAAAATTTTAGGTAAGCGCATATCAAATTTTAAATGCTTATAAAAGAAACTTAACGTTTAATTTCACATTTCGCTTTTGATTTGCAATGGGGATGTACTCAATAGGGGGAAACACAGAAGTTAAAATATATACATACACAAATCTATATCTTTGCTTTGTAAGGGCAGTGGTTGGAAACTTGTTTTCAGTGCAGTTTTATGATATAAAAAGAAGTTGAAAATTGTATAATTTGGAAATGAATTCTACGTTTGATATCTCATCTTCATAGGCGGGGATTATATTATTTAAATGCTTATTTATTTAAAGAAATAAACACATTCCTCCCCCTTTTGTGTCCATGAATAGAAGTACAGGTTGCACAAGTTTTAAAGGTTCACTTCTGAATTCATAGTATTTTTCAAGCATTTTTCCCTTTCAACATAATCAAAATGATTCCACGCCGGAAGCATGTCTGGTTGAATTTACCCAAAATTACATTCGGTACATCTCTAACCTTTCCGATAAGGTCGAAAAATTCGTCTTAGAGGTACGAAAACTTGCAAATGACAAAAATGTAATGCACCCAGTTCCAAAAATGATCGACTTTGACATGAAGCTTTCCCTCTTTAGCCAAACGGAAACGAAAAGTAGAGGTTCCAATGGGCACTTAAAGAGAATCTTATCGTCTAAATTCAGTTAAGTTTTGCCAATCATAAATTTTTTTGTCACAAACAAAAAGCAATATATTCAAAGGGCTTGATATACAAAGGGGTGTTTTCTTTCAAAGAATAAAGGCATATTAACCTGCAATAAATATTTCAACATTCATTATCAAGTATTTTGAAACATAAAAATGTCGAGAAACTCTCAGAAAACTCGTGTCACAAACTGACTGTGTGAAAAGAAATTTGTGTCTTAGTTGGAAAAATATAATATATAGCCAATATATTTCAATTCTTATCACTGAAGTAAAATATGAAAAATACTGTATTAAAAAGCAGTTACCAGATTAGTGCTAATGAAATAAAAATCTGTAATATCTCATTGTCAAAAAGTATAGTGAATTATATTATTATATCCCTATTTTTGTATTCATATGATGCAAAATTTATTCAAAAACTTCTACATGAGAAGAAGATAAAAATGTGGCCTTCAACTCGACATTTAAATATATCGACGATGTATTATCAATTAACAATAGTTACCTCCATTCATATGTCGACCCGATATATCCCTGCGAGCTTGAAATAAAAGACCCCACAGAGACTGACATTTCTGTCTCATATTTGGATATTTTACTAGAAAAAGACTTTTATGAAAACCTAATAATAAAGCTTTATGATAAACGTGATGACATTAATTTTTTAATCGTCAACTTCCCTTACTTATGTATCAATATACCCTTATCACCTGCATATGGGGTTTTTGTCTCCCAGTTGATTCTATACGTACATGTATGAACAATTTCTAAAATGAGGCAAGCTATTGACAAACAAGTTGATGAAACGAGGATATCAACAGTCTCGTTTGAAGTCATCATTTCGCAAGTTTTATGGTCGATACAATGACCTTGTCAGTACATACAACCTATCATTAAGTTAAATGTTGACTGACGTTTTTCATACTAATTGTTAGGCCATTATTTACAGACTGAATTGTCTACGGATTTTTCCGTTTCCCGATCATCACAATGCACACGGCGGCTGTGACCAGTCGGCAGGGGATGCTCACTCCTCCACGGCATCTTATCCTATCTCTGATGTTTTTGGAGGTCCGTGTTTGCTCTGCTTCCGATTTATATTGTCTAAATGGACTTTGAGGTCCTTTATCTTATTATCTATGTTATCATATATGTCTACCTTGAATACAACAGCTACATATAATATATGGAATGCAAATAATTTAATCGAAACTATCAATGACGCCGTGATTTCCCATCATAACAAAATCAAAATGCTTTTTTTAAGTGCCAAATAATCATCTTCCTGTGAAATACATTACAGTGACTTACGCTACATATTATATCCAGGGCCAGATTTCTGTGTTTGGGATATCTTTTATTCAAATTTTTTTCATCAAGAGTTTACTAACAGAAAACTATCGAAATTATCCTCTTAGTTATAATGTATAAAATATGTTGGACGTTTTTCATGGTCATTGCAGTCTAATTAAATTTAGCCCTATACATTTTATTATTTGTTGATGCCTACGGCATAACAAATAATGAAACGTAGGAACTAATTTTAATTAGTCTGATGGTTATTGAAACAACTGAATTTTGGCGTTATATTACCTGGCAGTCTTTTGGGAAATCCAAGAACTGGAATAGTGATCAGAAACATGACACTTCCTACAATAAGAAAATTTATCCACCATGCCCCCACCCAGCGTGGATCAGCTGGGGTCAATTTCAACCTACAAAGACAAAAGTATGTTTATACATTTTATATACACAACTTTAAGTAAATTCAAAATATGTCTTATTTGTTTTATTTGGGCATCATCAGTGTATCTTGTAAATCATCAGTTGACAACTTTACTTTTCGGGGTCCACTTTGTCAAAGTCTGTGTAAATAGAAAGTGTTTGTGCACCAAGCATATAGCCAGCTGCAACCCCTACGGAGGCCGCTGCATAAATCAATCCTAGAAGTAAATATAAAAACCTGAAGTTAGAGTATAGTTAAAGATTCTATAGATTCACTGAACAGTATCATGGTTGTACATGAATGATAAAAGACTTATTCAAAAATATACCTAAATAAAATGAGGTATTCTTTGCTTTAGTATTCGAGTCAATATAAGTTGTTCCCAGAGTAAACATAGGGGTGGATCCAGCTCCGTGAAGAGCGTTAGCTAGCATGAACACATAAAGGTATTTACTGACACTGGAGGCTGCTCTCGTTGTACATGAAGAACTAGTGCCATTAATATGACATACATTCTCAAAAGCATTAAAATCTACAAAAAATCATTCATATTTAAAGTTGTAATATTTAGATACGATAGAAATATTGTCAACATGTATTTAAGCAAATAGGCTAACATGTATGATCCTCCTAGCATGTTATGTAATATGATCATTATATAAAATATATATCATGTAATCTTTCCATATATTTACCATCGAATATAAATTTTGCTCACGATATAAATATGTATATAAATAATCAATACTCTACAGATTTATTTCAACTCAAACTCTTTTAACTTTAACATATATACTATTTCAACATTAAATTGATCCTTGTTCAAGGAAATTTCCCTTTCATGTTCTTTTGTGTCATTAAGTATCCCCACAATAGATTTTAATACTTGACTTTCCTTACCTTCAGAAATTCTATAGGTTCCCGCCAAGAAATGTGGTAATGAAAATATGAATGATCCTATTCCTAGTGTAATTATACCAATTCCAATAAGACGAGGTTTATTTCTCTCCCCGCCATAAAAACTGATAAACAATACCAAGAAAAATGCTATAAAGTCGTTAGAGCTAACAATGAGTCCAGCCTTGGAGCTAGGAAGTTCGAATCTTTTCTCTAGCGTGGAGATAATGGCGTTGATTACTCCATTTACGAGGTAGCCTTGAAATAAGCTGAACACACACGTGAAGAAAACGTACCACCGGATTGAATTGAAGACTTGAAGGCAACTGGAAGGACAGAAAAATGGATACATGTTACATAATTTTTTGAATGAGAAATTCCACTTAATAAATATAGCTTTTAAAAGCAACATCTTTCTTTAAAAAAAATCAATAATAAAAGCAAATAACTTTTACAAATACAGTATATAAACAAACAACAGCAAACATATTTTGTTCTCAAAATTGATTTGGATTTGACATTGTAGTACACGAATTCTTACATAGTGCAGTTCTAGTTCTTTAGATCAAAGCCTCGTTTGCTCTTATCTTAATAAAAATTCATATTTTTACATCAAAATGTTGAAGATAACAAATTGTCAAACAATTTTTTTCAGGACAATAATGCTATATTTGTTGGCGTGCAGTTAATTTGCTTAATTCCAAGTGGGAGTGCAAAGTGTACTCGAGATTACCCTATTTATAGTGGGTGCATGTTTTGAATCCATTTTACGCGTGTTTTCTATACAGTTTACCTCGTGCATTTTTTTCCTATTTGCAGTAGATTCTTGTTCACAATTTCATATAAGAAGGACAAGAACTGATGATATCAACGTGTACTTACTCGGGTTTAAATTTTCCCCAGCCATACCGCAGGTTCTTCTTTTCCCATTCCTCTTCGCTTTCTTCACTTCCGTCTTCAGATTCTGGATTGGGAAACTGAGTCCCAATTGTGTGGAGTTCTTTTCCATTGCCAAGTTTCAGATAACCCGATCCCCAAATGTTATTCATTTCATCCTGGCTACCAAATATTTCTCTCAAATTGTTCATGTTTAATTTTTTCGCCTGAAAATGGTGAATTTGGATAAGTTTGACTTATTTACAATTCTAAATTTGGAGTACGAAATGTCTTTTGCAGGGAACAGTTTATAAAGCTTTGCTCTTATCTCCCGATCACATATTCTGTTTTCAAATAAATAAAAGCACACTTGGCATTTTTTTTAAATTCAAATCTGTATTTAATCACCTAATATGTTTTAGTGCATAATATTATTATCTTAGTTTTGTTTGTTCGCAATTTACGAGTTATTAATTTACAATTCTAAATTTGGATTACGAAATGTCATAAGTTTGACTTATTTACAATTCTAAATTTGGACTACGAAGTGTCATTTGCAGGGAACGGTTTATAAGGTTTTGTTTTATCTCCCGATCACATACTGTTTTCAAATAAATAAAAGTATTACATGTATACTTGGCCTTTAAAAAAACAAACAAACAAAAAAAAACTTTAAATCTGTATTTAATCACATATTAAAATTTAGTGCATAATATTATTAGCATATTTCTGTTTGTTCACAATTAATGAAGTATAAATCTTTTGTAAAGTGAACGTAATAACCTTATGTTATGCAATATGCACTCTGCAAGGTTTAATACATATGTAGTTACCTCTTCTAAGCTCATCTCTGCATTTTATAAAATACAGAATTCTGCACTTTCTTTGCATTGTGATTTCTTTCACTGCTTCTTGAAATTTAAGTACGAAGTAGATCAGTAAGATCTTCGTGTCGCCTGCAGAGCAGAGTGACATTTCAAGATCACTTTGTTTGGTGTCTGTCTGTCGTTATTTCTCTCTGTAACACCTAATATACTGAGAGCTGTTAGAGATAGGGGTTTGATATTTTGTCCAAGCAGCCGGCATTGCTTGGAACAACGGCTTTTGTAACATATCTAAGTTGTCGACCTCATGACCTTTGAACTTGACGTTTGAGTAAGTCTGTACTAATAAGCATGTGCACTCATAGACATACCAGCGTTACAGTCCATTTCACCTTGACCTACTTTTCAAAAATACTCCAAACTGTTACTTCAATTGTTTTTTTAACCAGCTTATATACTACATGTTTATGACATCGATATTACGATATTTTACTGAAAAACTGAATTATTTGCATTAACGACACAAACTGGAATTTAAATCCTTTCCATTAGTTGTATGAAAATAAATCAGGATCTGTATACCGCCTTACGTTCGTTGTTTCCAAAAAAAAAAAGATGTAGAAAAGCGACGTACACTTTTTAATTACGAAATTTGGGATTAAACAGGTATATAAATTAATCAATAAATAATTATTTATAATAAATTCATCGTATTTATTTATTAAACTTAATTTCTTCTTGATTGTAACTTTCATGCTAAATGCTATCTATCGCATTCTTACTATCCACGGATGTTTTTCTCCTTCACATGAACTATAACTTTTATAAGGATACAAGTAAAAATTATGACCACTTTTGCCTTTATTCATGTCTTTAATAATTATATGACAGGCTACAATTGAAACACTGCAAATTATATTCTGCTTAACTTTTGAAATTGACATTTATTTCGTGTTTAAGGCATATCACTTGTCAGCTTTTGAAAAAAAAGTGTTGTTAAAACATCTAATGCCAAAACTATCGATAACAATCCAATTTTTTTTTAACTCAAATCAGGAGTGACATTATAATAATTAAGGATTTTTTAATGGATATATACAAAGAGGACTATGAATTCATGTACAATCATTGAAATAAAAGTTCTTGAAATTCGCATGAAGATTATCAACTTTGTGTTTTTTATGAATTGGGAAAACTTAAAATTTTCTTAAGTTTACATTTTATTTAATATGAAAAAGAAACTTATTAAAAGCAAATACTTGACCAAAGCAACAAGCAATTTGCATCATTAATTTTCGTTTTTTATATTTTACATCGTGTGGTATAGTCTTTTTTATCCTTGTTATTATTTACAGAAAATAGTATTATTTCAGAAATTGTTGTTTTGAGGGGATTTTATAAAAAAAAAAAAAAAAAAAAAAAATCAAGAGTAAAACATTGAACATGCCTAATGAGTGAAATTTGTTATACTGTACGATGATACGTGGTAAAACCGTTCATAATAGAAAACAGTTGAATAAATCGCCTATTCATGACAATTTAATACCCTAGTTGTTGTGATAAATAGCAAAGGAACCAAATATGTTAGAGGCTAGGTCTAAGACCTTACTAAAATTGAGGTTTCTAATTTGTATTTGATGCAATTTATTTTACAATTTCTCTTGAAATAAAATGCAATCCAAATAAGCAATAGAAATTTGAAAAAAAGATGAAAATTGTATATCTAAGAAGTAATCATAATTTTTTTTAAGTCGAGTTATCAATGAAATCCAAGACAAAAAACTTAGTACACTGTACTTCTCTTTCCTTTAATCAGAATCTTATGAGAATGGAAATTTGGATAGATTTTTCCTTCGTTTTAATTAAATATTTATCAATTGTCATTCACATACATGTATAACATAATTATACCGGTATATCTTCTTCAAATAAAGCAGACATTAGTTTTGGCACATTAAAACTGGCTGTAGCTCTTGACACGCCTATGATGAAAAAGAGAAATTCTAACCCCAACCCTTGAATGGGTCAAGTTGTCTTAAATTAAACCACAATAATATTTGTAGGGGTGAAACAGTTTGCCTGCATGATTGGAAAGGAGAATATTCACAGACAGTATATTGTACTTTCACTGTATAATCAATTTTCAAGTTTCCCTACGCTACCCCCGTTCTCCAAAGGATCTGGATCATGAACCCAGTTGACACAAATTTCAAAGTTCATGATAATAATGCAAACCGTTTAACTGCTACAAGTCCATTAATTCAAGAGTGTTTCGGGTGACCTAAAATCAGGACAAGAAAAGCATGCAAGTTTACTTAAGGACAGGCGATACGTTCGTCAATCATATAATTTTTCCTAAGAACTTGTGATTGAAATATTGCTACTGAAACAAGTTTCCTCACAAATATTAAGGTACATTACCAGACATTTTATCAAATTTCAGAGGATGGTATTTACTAGAGAATCCTATCGAAAATGACTAGAATTGCTGATATAATCATTTTTGGTTTATATATGTTTTAGATATTATGAAAAAAGAGAAATCAAAAGATAATAATAATTACCAATATTTCTGGAATATTACGACGAAATACAAAAAGTTATTCGAGGAACCCATCGTTAGACCTTAACAACAATAGTGTCCATAAAATTGTTTTAAAAACCCAAACCCAGGCCATGGATGTACATTACACCTCAAAGACGATAAGTATTGCTCAATAAAGGAAAGCCAGTCTTGGAAATTTGTTAAAAGTAAATTACAAATTTTCTATTCCCTATGTCTGACCATAATAAATGCTTAAATTAACCTGGATCTTATTTAAATTTACCCTTAATCGGGAGCATATATTTTTCAAGTCTCACTAACCTGTTATGCATGTTTGGAGGAATGGGCAACAAGGCTATTTATTCAAGTTAGCAACTGTTAAGTAGAGAGGGTTTGTCTGGAGGTCAAATTATTACTTACTTTTCGGAATCCAGATAACGGTTCTTTTTTTAATTACTCGCTTTTAAAATTGTAAACTTTTTATCATAGAGGGGACACATACACACTATATATATATATATATATATATATATATATATATATATATATATATATATATATATATATATATATATATATAGTGTGTGTGTGTGTGTGTGTGTGTGTTTATATATATATATATATATATATATATATATATATATATATATATATATATATAATTGAGTCGTTTTTATTCTTGCAAATGCAACTTAATGCTTTATTTATTTGTGTGTCTTTTGACTTTGTAGTGTAGTTCTGTAATCAACTTAACATAACTCTGAGAGGATGTGCACGTCAAAGAAAATAAACATTACTCATATACGCATTTACCATGAACAAAATTTTGCCACTTTGTTTCTTATCTTACTTAAGATAATTGAAATTGCTCTGCTGACCAGCGACCTCTCTCTCCGAAATTGTTTGACCATCAACAAAGATTATCGATATGTAAATATTACAAGTATTAATCAAATATTAAGAAGCTGATAAATTTTTCTTTTGATAACAATTTGTTACAATTGCTATTTCAGGGTCTGTATTAGGTAGAGATAGTCTGTGTTTTTGGCAGATGTTAAGTGTCTTCCACATGATATAAAAAGAAACATTTAATGTTTAAGGACAACAGAGGCATTGCAATAGTAATGTCTAAGAGGTGAGCTCCAAGGTTCACAATGCCTTCATTCTCTTAAATGAAAAAGGTAAGATAACGAACAATGATCCATCTCAAAAAATTCTAAAAAGAATAAAAATCTATGAACAGGGAATAAAACACAGACCCCTGGAAATTCCAGAGGGATGGGATCTGGTGCCTTGGAGGATTAAGCATCCCCTGTTAACAGGTTATACCCGCCGTGAGCTCTATGTATTGATCAGGTAGAGGGTGCATTCCGTAGTAAAATTCAGTACAAAACAAAGGTCTAACAATTGGTATGCAAAAAGTCGGTCAAAATACGACTCAATGATAGGTTATACGTTTGCTGACTAGCTCATTATAATGACCATAAAATTTACGAAATACTGGCTTTAAACGAGGTTGTTGAAATTCCTGTTACATCAACTTATCTGTCTGTAGCCTGCCTCGGTTTAAAAATTGATCGTACTCAAAGCATACTTCTGAGTATCTGGGTGATAGCGGGATATTACTACATAAACAAGGAAAGTTGACGATGGAAAAGCTGAAGTCATCTCGTTTGTCATACAATTTAGTTGTTAGTTGGCCCTTATTGTCTATAGTCAGTAAAACATCCAAATATGAAACAGTGTTTCAGATTTTGTGGTGTCTTTTATTTTAAGGCCACTGGGATATATCGAGTAGACATGCATATGGATAGTAACGATTGTTAATTGATAATACGTCGTC